CTTCTTCTTCTTCTTCTTCTTCTTCTTCTTCTTCTTCTTCTTCTTCTTCTTCTTCTTCTTCTTCTTCTTCTTCTTCTTCTTCTTCTATTTCTTCTTCTTCTTTCCTTCCTTTTTTTACTTCCTTCCTTCTCCTCCTCTTCCTCTGCCTTCTCCTCCTCTTCCTCTGCCGTCTCCTCCTCATCCTCCTCTTCCTCCTACTCCTCATTCTCCTTCTCCTCTAAACTTGACTGACTGGGAAACCTTGAAAAGAAAACCAATTCTGTTTCGTATATATGGGAAAAAAGGTAACCTTTATTGAAGGCACTCAAACGTCATTCAGTTCAAGGGAAAATGTAGTTACTCATAAAAAGAACAGAGAGACCTGAAGAGAGCAAATGTCCTTGATAACCCATTCAATCCTTCAAAAAGAACAACATCCTTGTTTAAAACATTAATGTTTACGTTGCATTCATTAATTTAACAGTTAGCACAGGCAACAAAATACCGAAAGAGAAAACGATGACAACGACAGCAAACGCGACAAATAAAAAGTAACGGCAACACCACCAACAGTAAAGTTGCATCTTTAATGAAAGTTGCAGCAAAAATAATTGCTGAAGGGTATCAAATCGATATGGCCGCTATTAAGACATGAGGATAAAAAAGATGGATTGCAGACGATTCAGTGAGATAAAAAAAAAGAAGAGGTAACACAACATGCCCAGTTTTTAAAAGTCTTAGTAGAGGTTTTACGGTGCTCGCAACTGCATAAAGTCATATGAGCGCCAGAAGATTAGAGGTTTTTCAAGACAGTAACAAACATAAAAAGAAGAAGGGGAGATAAGGACGATAGATGTTTCATAGGAAAGAAGAAACAAACCACACCAGAGCACCCGCCAACCACCCACGAACACACCCAGAAGACACTCAACCCGGTAACCCTGGTAATAAAAGCGGCCGTTGGAAACAGCAAAAGAACCCCCGGCCCACTCCCAACAAATTAAATAAAGAAATAAAAAAAGAAGCGTTTGATAGTGACAACAACAACCCCCCTCCCCCTTGGACGGAGGTGGGGTCGCCTCCCCCCCCCCCTTGCCCCAATAAGACATCACACCAACCACCACCACCACTCCTACAACAAACAATATAGCTATAACACTGTTTACTGTGTTCACTGCTGAGCTTGTTTAGGGGAGGAGTCAGGAACATCTCGTGTGCTTCTTGAGCTAAATATTAAAATTTGAACAGTAACGGTTTATTTTTCTTTCTAAACCCCAGAGACAAACATGGGGAAATAACACTCTTGACCTTATACGAAACTAAGGCTCCAGATCAAAGAGTTGTAATACTAAAGGTCGCAGCAGTGACATCACACGTGTCAGACATGGGGGGGTCTTTCTTACCTGCATCGGCATGGCCGGCGTGCCCCCATTTACATGAATAATCTGAGCCCCCACCCCACTCCCCACACCCTCTAGTTTATTATTAAACACCACCGTACCCCCATATTTCAGTACAATTTCTTTACACTTTACACCAATGGACACTGACGTTATTTCCAACTGGAAAATTTTAAAATGCCGAGGAAAGGGTAGACGTCTACTGATCAATGCTGTTAAATAAAAGATTAAAAGAGGGAAGGAATTTCGATTCTGAGTCAATTCTTATCACGCCAACAGTTGTTTGAAGAAAGGTAGATATAACAGGAAGCTTCCATGGTTGATCTTAAAGGGAACACAAGCAAGCTATCATCAGGAGCATGAACAAAACGTTAACGACGGTGATACTAGAATGGGCTGCCGAGGGTTCGAAACTTACAACGACAGTATTAACAACAATGTAACAATATTAATAAGACAGAGTGAAAACAACAACAATTGAAAGAGTAGAAACAACAACAATAACATAGACGACGACGACAACAAAAATTAAAGTTGAGAAAGTATCTTGTGCACATTAAAAGGCAAATCATTTAACACTTTCAACATAAAACTGTATCATACCCAACCCTTGTCACAACCCACCCCACCCCAAACCAACCAACCAACCAACCAACCAACCAACCAACCAACCAACCAACCAACCAACCAAACAAACAAACAAACAAAAATACAAAGACAATAAAACAGTAACACTGAACAATAGCACGTTCGATCCAGAAATTGTAAACCTGACTTGCAATTTTTGGGGGATTTGAAAGGTGAATGGAGAACTTGAAACGATTGACGGGAAAGTGTGCAGGGGACTAAAGAAAAGGCTCACCTGTGGATCCGAACGGTTCTCTTTGTCCTCGAGGTCACAGGGCAAGCCATTACGCAGCATCCCGGGAGATGTCGGTGCCACAGCCGGGGATCCGGAAGTGACGACACAGTTACTGAGATCCGCTGTGCCGTGCGCAGTTTGGGCGGAATCCGGCTCGTCAGCAGAGTGCTCAATCTTTGGCTGTGCTCTGCAGATCAGGTTATCAGCTACGGCCATTTTTTTGGCCTGCTGTTGTTGGTGATAAGCATTGCTCTCCAGTAGGCTGTGCGTGCTGCGTTCTGTTGTGTGTACGGCAGTGTGTCCTGGAGTGTGTACGACTGTTAGACCAACAGTAGGAGGTGGCTGCTGGGCGCAATTAGTCCCGGCAATGACTTCAGATTGCATGGTCATTCTGTTTCGTTAGTCCGCTCTGAGGGGTAATGAAAGTGTGGGGTGTGGCGTTAGTATCAGAGTCCTCAAAACGAAATACTACGTAGGAAGCGCTTTGAGTAGAGAGTAGTAGTACATCGAAACGACACCCTCCATTTAGTGCTGGGAAAAGACAAGGCAGGCATACAGAAACAGCAGAGAGAAAGACAAGTGGTAATCCGTAAGCACCCGCTAGACGAAGAGTAGAACAAATAAGAGACTCTTCGTCTTCCTAAATCTTTTAATTCGAAGATGTATACCAAATAACAAAACTGACGTCACTCCTGATGAATGGGTGGGTGGGTGGGAGTAAGCGGAGGGGCGGGGCTATTTCTCAAATACAAGTAGGCTTATGGGGCGTGTTATATTATTTTTAATTCCCATCTCTACACAGTAAGGCTCTATAAAAAGTAGCAGCCATGGACCTCCAATTTCACGTTCACCTCAGAAGGTACGAAAAGACAATTAGAAACGGCACAAAAGAATGGAAATATACAGATAAAAGTGATTTAATGCAAAGTCAGCCATTCATCTAGAATGAAATAAAGTGACAAGAGCGAGAGTTAGAAGGAGGACAGGGTGGGTACTCAGAAAACAGCATCTCAAAATGTTCGCTTATTCGTTATGAAACTTAAATCGTTTCTCAGAAAATCTAAATTGAAATCCACTTTTCGGTAGCTATCATAGTCTTTATTTTCTGTTTTCAAAGATAACGGGGCTTATAAGTTCCTTTAGTAAGTCAGTAAGCATAAGGGTTTAACACCCCTGTCAATACTATTAGGCTATTTAAGTAGCAGAATTTCCGAAATTAACGCCTAAGTCTCCGATAGGATCGAGCAAAATGGGTTGAAAGTCTTGGAATCTCCACGATTTGAACCTGGGTCTTGCCCTCTGTAGTCCACCATGATACTAACAGAGCTAACGATGCACCCTTTGTTTCTTTAAAAATTAAAGCTTCAAAGTTGTTGGGTTTTACTGGGCGAAGTCCCTGATTTTGACGTGGCATTAAAGAAAGAAGAAGGAGGGAAAAACCTGAACGTTTTAATAAAGATTGTTTTCTGTCTGCAGACTCTTGTCAAGTGCAGCCATACTTATACTCAAAACTTGATTGATAAAACAGCATAACTGAGAACTTCGACCTTGTTTCGTGCTATTGTCCCAGTAACTCTAGCTAAATTATGGATGTCAGATAATCTGGAGCGGGGCGTGATTTCGGAGCTTGGCCAAGGTATTACTTTTTTTAGCACCGCTGTGGCCAGGATGAAGAGACTTAGGTAAACCAGGAGACCCCCTGAAGGAGTTCCTTCTCAGAGTGCATTCTTAAAACACCACTAGCTATTTGAGGAAAGGCAAAGCTCCCAAGACGTTTTGAAATAGTGTTAGAATCAATAATAAACGAGTTAGGATTAAGTTTTGAGGTCAGACTCCTGAATTCTTTCTTTGTCACATTTTCACCCAGAGCTCTTTCCTTCTACGTTACTTCTACTCAAACTACTTTCCTGAGTAAAATGCAAATCATGTAACCGTCAGTTAACTTTTTTTGTGTCAGACCTTCGTCTTGTACGAGTAGTGTAAATCTAAGAAATTATCACATAACAGTGCTTAGCGCAGAATGAGCGTTCACATTATAAAGATATCAGCTAGCCAATTTTAGAAATTGTTTCACCAACTCCGAATTCTTCTGTCTATAGAACTAACTACAAGCATTCCAAACAACCCAGTTTGGAAACTCCCCTTCTTTTTAAAAAACACTATTTTCCGAAGCTCTTAAAACAGCAGGTATGACATCATAATAAAATAAAGACACTCTCACACCACTCGTGTTAAAAGCATTTACAGCGGTATCGAACTAAAGGCTAAATGGAATCAACAGGATCACGAATAACTCGAAAAAGCTTTTGGCAAAAGCCAAATGTCATTAGAGTCCTGTGTGACTCATAAACCCCTTACATCGAACCGGAGAGAGCACAGCCCTAGACGGTAAGAGAGATCGAATAGGCACAGCCGTAAGTCACTTTGTTCATACGATTAAGTGTCACGACACAGTGGAATCACACGCTCGCCAATACACTTTTAGGCACATGGGAGTCAATGATATCATCTTAAAGCTTCTTACTTGTCGTATTTTTGAAGAAACATATCTATCTATCTATCTATCTATCTATCTATCTATCTATCTATCTATCTATCTATCCAACTTCGTAGGATAGAAGTTGAGATATTTGAGATTGAAGGGATTGGGGGGTGTCCTCTAGTCAGAAGTAAAAATTAGCGAGAAAATGGTCGACAAAGACTGGCAACTTCCAAACTTTGAATATCCTTTGAAACTGCAACTTACATTTTCTGTGCCTTTCATCATTGTTTATCAGTAAAATCACTAGGAACTCGTTTTTCAATGGACATAAAATGTGTAGGAAAAAAAATCGATAAAAATTGCCCAACAAGCGGCAGAATGTTAGTTTTTTCGATGTCATTATTTTGACGAGCGCATGAGTTCACGACGATGCCTCACATTATATACCTTATCCGCGCCACCAGTCACTACGACAGGACATGGAGGAATCGAAACGTATATTTATACTAATATAGCAATTGTGCAATTTGATGATTTGTCAATATTGGCCAGCAGACGCTAACCCTAGCATCGGTGTTGTCTCCATTGCCAATAAGAAAGAAAATCCAATGTAAATCGGTGCTAGAAAAAAATTATGTGTTCTGAGACAAGAGCTTCGTGAATACTATGAGTAATATTTTCAATGTTCGACTTTGGTTGTTTTTTTAGTTTAGTTTTAGAAGAGGTTTTACGGCGCTCGAAAGTGCATAAGGTAATACGAGCGCCAGAAGATTAGAGGTGTTACAAGAGAGTAACAAACATAAAAAAGAAGAAGGGGAGATAAGGACGATAAATGTTTCATAGGAAAGAAGAAGCAAACCACACCAGAGCACCGGCCAGCCACCCACACTTTGGGTTTTGGAAAAATGTTACAATTCAAACTCTCAAGCTTAAGAACCGCACGAAATGTTCCTATAGCGACTGTAGTGATGTCGCACGCGGAAGATGTGGGTTCGACTTCCGAGTAGTGGAAAAGAAAGGGGGGGGGGGGGGTAGGGATAGCCTATCGAGAATCTATTTCTGTCTGCTGAGATGTTGTACCCTTCTCAGTTCGAGTTGGCCTTGACAGGCAGGGTAAAGTACCCACATCCTAAATGGCCTAAATAGTATAGACAGGGATGTAAAACTCTTACATTTACATTAATTTGTTTTTTCGTATAGACCTGCATATCGCTACTTCAGAATTAGAAAGTTGTATATGACATTTTTGACTGTTTTGAGTTACTATGAGCATGAGATAAAAAACCAAATGTTCTATCTGCTCTTTCAAAATCGTAAGATTATTCGGATTCGTTATCAAGATATTCAAAGAAATGCATTCGAAAAAGCCTGACATGATGTGAAACTCAAAATCTTTGCTGTCAAATTTCTCTAAACTAGGTACTGAGCAGATAGAACTTTTGTAATTCTGAGGTAGCTACATGTGGCTTTGGGTGGGACTTAGTTGAACAGCATTGATACCGATTGCCAGTGAAACTTGGATCGTGAAAGAGAAAAGTATCTTTGTTTCATATCAGCGGAAAAAAAGCAATTTCAAGGAGACAGGGATTTGGCGGGGCGGGTTCAGAAAAAGTTACTCGCCCGTATTATTGCTCAATCAGTGTGGAAGAGACGTAATTCGCTCAAACTGCTGAATAACTGAGGACCTCCCTGTCATCTGTCTTTTATTTTTTTTAAAGTCCCCCCCCCCCCTACCCAAGCTCCTGTAATATTCGTATCTCTCGATTCCCCGATGTCTGGTTCTCCTTGCGGCCCATTATGTGCTCGATTCGTACATCAGAGACCATCAAAGCCTGTCTCTCAAACTAATAGGGATCGAATGATGTTTGATTAAGAGTTCAAATCAAGTGGGAGAAGGTGGTTGCTTTTCAAAGAGAGCTCTTTTCCAGATTGGTAAACGTGAAGCGTTGTGGAGAAGTCATGCGCTCGTCAAAAAAATCAAGAAATATAAAAAAATCCCCCCCCCCCTGTTGGGCAACTTTTATCGAATTCTTTCTCCCCTCCCCCCTCCTTTTTTTGGCTCAATAACTTGTTATGACCATTTAAAATCACATTTCTGTCATTTCGATGTGGATTTTATTGAAAAGTGATGGTGAAAAGTAAAACAAAAGTAAATGTGCATGTTTCCAAGGACACTCCGGTTTTGAAGTCACCAAATTTGGCAGCCATTTTCTCACTAACTTTACCTCTCACACCAGGCAGCCACCCACCCCTTTCAGTTGCAAACATCTCGACTTCTATTCAAGGTATATATATATATATATATATATATATATATATATATATATGCGTACATTTTTCATTAGAAATAAGATTTAAATAAACAAGATTTACAATATCAATAACTCTGTATGTCAACAACCAAAAAATAATAATTGACGAACGCCTGATTCCACGGTGTCGTGACAAATAGTTACTCTCCCTCAAACAGAGACAACCTTTGTTTACTCAGACTGAGAGGGCCTTGAAGCAATCGATGCTCATTGTTTACGATCCAGAACTGTGACTCATGAATGAGTCCTCGGAAATCAATACAGTGGGGACGGGGGGGGGGGGGGGGGGGGGGGTGATAGCGATCCTCATCAGTCGTAGTCAACAAAGTTGTGCAGTGGGAGCCAAAAACGAACACGGCGGTGAGGACTTGCACCCATAGTTCGTTGTTTTACGTTTGAGTAAAAAAAAATCTCATTTAACACATTTAAAAAGAAGTAACAACATGATATTTACAGCCGAATGTGTAGGTTAAACAATATTTTAGAACGTTTAGGCAGGTGAATACCACTCAGAAATAATTCAAGGGCTAACAATAACACCAACAACAAAAACAACGACAATAACAACAACAATAATAATAATAATAATAATAATAATAATAATAATAATAATAA